GATTGTAACATTGTACTCCAGCCTGGGAAACAAGAGCAAAACTCCTTTTCAGAGGAAAAAAAAAAAAGAAAGAGGTCTTAACATATGGATAACATAATCCCTTTCATGGGCTCCAGTAATATTCAGTACTCCATCTACTCCAGATTGGAAGGAGTAGGGTCTAGCTAATATTATACTCCCAGCTTCTAGATCATTATCTACTCAACAATTATAATGTAATAAAAATACAAATGCTTAATAACTAATTCAACAAATACGCGTTGAGTGCAAACTTTCTGCTAGGTACTTTTCTAAGCCCTGAGCAAAACAGACAGAAATTCCTGACTCTATTGAGTTTAATTAACTCTATGTTTTTGCCTCAGTTTTCTGTTTCTGTTTGAGGCCACAGAAGGAAAACCAACATGAGAGAGTGCAACACCCTGGGGCTCACAAGGTGGGGAGCTGTTACTTTCCCTGTCTCTAGAGTTAAAGGGAAGAAGCAGCAAGGTGTTTGTCTGGGGAAGACTGCTTCGTGGAAGCCCTGGCCTTCATTAAGGGGATTCAGTCGGCATGCAGTGTTGTCTAAGAGCAGGGACCGAGGAAATCAACTCAGACATCTCTTGCTTCTCCCTCCTTCCTTTTCCTGCTGTTTCCCTTAATGGATTGAAGTCAACTGAAGCCAGAGGGCAGGAGGCCCAGCTAAAGTAGTCTACACAGCTCAGCCTCCTGTAGCCCAATATAGGGGTCAGGAGCAGCAGAGTGAATCTGGAAGGAAAAATGGAAAATATTCAGCAACAATCTTGATAAAAACTCTTAAATTATTTTCTTTTAGTTTCTGAATTACTTTGTAAATGAAGAGTATTCGTAGGGCCGGGCGCAGTGGCTCACGCCTATAATCCCAGCACTTTGGGAGGCCGAGGCCGGCGGATTACGAGGTCAGGAGATCAAGACCATCCTGGCTAACATGGTGAAACCCCATCTCTACTAAAAATACAAAAAATTAGCTGGGCATGGTGGCGGGTGCCTGTAGTCCCAGCTACCCGGGAGGCTGAGGCAGGAAAATGGCGTGAACCCAGGAGATGGAGCTTGCAGTGACGGGAGATCATGCCACTGCACTCCAGCCTGGGCAACAGAGCAAGACTCCGTCTCAAAAATAATAATAATAATAATAAAGTATTTGTTCAAATAATTGGCGTTGTGTGTGTGTGTCCTGCACCTGCGGGAAATTCGGGCTTATTTTTATAAACCCACGCCTTTTAAACAAATGTTAATGTTCTGTATATTTGAAGGCTTTTTTGTTTTTTTGGTCAAATGAGAGAATTAGGCAATTTAATATGAATGTGTCTATGAAGCTCATTTCAGAACTTTTAAAGGGAAAAAAAGATTTGAAATTCTGTGATCGTGGAAGAACTATTGGTGATGCCAATCATTTCCATCATTTCTGAGCCCCTCCTGAAAGTGCTGCAGATGCAGTCATGGCTCTGTGCTGTAGCTCATGTCCTGAGGAGTAGGCCAGAGGAGAGTTACATAGAAACAGAAAAAGGTTACTGAAGTCCCGCCGGTACCTTTGAAGAGACCAAGATGTCTTTTTAATGGTGGAGGTTCAATCTGAGTGTGTCTGAAACCCAAAAGCACAAAAAGCAAGGACATTGCATTAACCTCTGCATCATACCACTCATTTTTCTGTCATCGATTGTATCATTTTCCTTGAAAATCTTATTAGAATTTTGCTTGGCAAGGCTACTATAACATAAGATTTAGGCTTTCACAGGAAGTACTATTTTCAGTCATTTATAACTCAGGTGGATACACTTGCTGGTAGGTAAGCTTATTTTGAGAACAATTTAGTCCCTTCTTTCTGAAACCCCACCTTTACACTTCCCTGTCCCTAGTTTAAATGTTAGTTTTTCTAATAGCTTGATACTTAACACCAGTCACGTTCCACATTGTGGGGGTACCAGCTTAGATGAGTCTTTCCTTCTAGGGGTTAAAATACAAACATACCGAGAACAAACATGATATCTTATAAATTTGGTACTGTACATCTTTCTTAGAATTGTCTGGTTCATTTTTGAAATTAGATTCTCACAATATTCATTGTTGCGAGATTCTGACTCCTTTTAAAAATGAGAAAACAAGGAATGTAAATGAGTTCCCAGAACAAATCAATGTATTCATTGAGGATCTACGGCATGCACCCACTATCTGGCAAAGAAACAATGCTCATCTGAATGGCCATATCTCTTATAGTTCTGACCTACTGTACCTTTGTTTTTTGAAGCTTTTAGATTAAAATGTACTTCAGGACCAAATCCTCACTCTCTACCTTTTTGTCTTTTCTCATTTAGAATCGTAGTATAGACTATTTTCAAATGCCAGCACAGTGCCAGCAAAATGCATGTAGAAAGTCAATAAATACACATAGGACTGATTTTTTTGCAGAGCTATTTAAGGATAACCGGGTCTCCAGAACTATTTTGAAATACTTTGTGATTCTAGCCTTAGCATACTACAATATTGTGTTTTCAACTGCTAACAATGTACAAAGATGTAGGTCAATGGAGTATATTGAAAGTTTTAGAAAACTTGGCCAGGGTTAGAACTCTCCATTTGATTAGATTTCTGGAAAGAGGATTCAAGTATGTTTATCTCAATTGCACAAAGGAACAGGTTTGCATTTCATATTTTAGCTAAAATTTTCCCAAGAAGTCAGACACTTTATTCATCTTTAACAAATAACTGTTTTAAAGGTGACCTTGTGCAAGAGAGTTTGGTCTCTTCACAAACACAATAATCTCCTGATGAAGAATTCAGGGTTGATAATGAATTCCTTTATAGATGTAATTAATGAATAAGAAATCTAATATTCTATAATTAACGGATAAGAATAATGATAGTGGCAGGGGGTAAGTGAGGATGGAGGAGAGGGTGCTGACACATGAAATATTGACACCAAAAGCAGACATTACCAACTCTAGGCAACCCACAGCTTGATGAATGTATCCAGTGGCAGAGATTTCCAAACCAAAACAGAACCTTCCAGGGTTTGCTAGACTGTGAACCTCCACTGCTGGATTCAAACTTCTCCAGGCTGGAAATTGTCTTGTTATTGCTTCTCTAAGACTCCCCGGAGAACAGGGGCTCTCTATAAACTTATTTTTTCCTTTTTTTTTTTTTTTTTTTTTGCCTACACGGAGCCTCGCTGCGTCGCCCAGGCTGAAGTGCAATGGTGTGATCTCAGCTCACTGCAACTTCCGCCTCCCGGTTTCAAGCAATTCTCCCTGCCTCAGCCTCCCGAGTAGCTGGAATTACAGGTACCCACCACCACACCTGGCTAATTTTTGTATTTTTTAGTAGAGACAGGGTTTCACCATATTCGCCAGGATGGTCTTGAATTCCTGACCTCAAGTGATCCACTCACCTCGGCCTCCCAAAGTGCTGGGATTACAGGCGTGAGCCACGTGCCCGGCCCTAAACTCATCTTTTGCAAAACAAAAAGAAAAGGACAAACACACCCTTTGGTCTTATCTTGGCTGTAGCAAAACATACCAAGCAGAATTAAACTTTCATTTTGTTTATCTTCATACCCTCTGCAGGGAGTAACATGACCTTCATTACACATAACAGGTTTTCTCAAAACACCTAGAAAATGAATGCATGTATCTAGGCCTGTGTGTGTGTGTGTGTGTGTGTGTGTGTGTGTGTGTGTATGGTTACAAAGATGAGAAACCCAGTTAAACTAGTTCAGGAAAAAATGCTTATTATAATAATATAATAAGCTCATCAAAATGGAATACAACTAAGTCATATACCACCTGGAACTAGGACAGAAACCTCTTCATGAATTGAATCAGCTACTTGACCACCTTTCTTGGCTTTTCTTATTTGTTTATCTTTCTCCAACTCTCTTTCCTTCCCTTTCTACATCCTTTCTCTATAATTCTCTCTCCTCTATATTCACCTACTGCTTAAGTTAAACACTATGCTTCCTGAATATATATTATCATTTCCCAAGGTTTGCAAATGTTTTGTCACTGATTTATGCCAAACCTCCTAAAGTATATCCCCAATTCTAATACTGTTGTAGCAGGACACATCTTTTCCAGGCCCCAGAAACCTTCATTTTTCTATTAAAAAAAATAGCCTTGTTTCCAGACCCTGACTCATATCAATCCTTTATAGTGAAAGGTAATGACTCCAGCCCACTCTGGGTTTATACTGTATACACAAATAGAGCAAGGGAATCTCATACATTCCTAAATTATAATACCAAGACAAGAACATAGTATCTGGAACTGGAAATTCATAACCTTCAAGCTCAGTCTTCTACCCTATTTTTTAGACCACTAAAAGTTGAAGTATTTTCACTATCAAAGGATTAAAACCATGCCAGGCCAAATAGGCACTGTTCTCCCAACTCATCTCTGCTTACCTACCACCTAATGATTGCAGAATGCAAGTGGGATAACAAATTACCTATTCTAGATTAATAATAATAATAATAATAATAAATCTCCTTCTTTAAATGGATATATAATCAGCTTTCAGGATTTTTCAAATATTGATCAGGTTCCCAAGTAAAGGGTCCTGCCTCATGGAGTGTTCAGAGACAAATAATTGTGGATATTTTCAGTCATCTCTCAAAGACTCCCAATTCTAACCAAGGCTCTTCCATCTCAGGTAACACAGACACCAATCAAGGTAACACACACACACAAAAAAGTGATCATGGCAGAGTGTTAATAAAGAAAAGATAATAAAATTGGAGAAGAACTCTCAGGAATCTTGTTTGAGATGAGCCTCATGGAAGAAGGAGACCAATCTGAAGCTACTCTCTCTTTGAATGCACACAGGCTCTCTCATCTCAAAGAATCTTTCTCTCTTTCTATCCTGGCTGTTCTGCTTCCCTCTGAGCCTATGCATCAATTGCACTGGGGATGACAGTGCAAGGATGAATAGGACAATGTCCCTATCCTATGAGCTTAGAGACCAGCAGAGATATTCCTATCAGATATACAAGGACAACTCAGCAACAGTTGCAATGTTACAGAAGATACAGTGTTCTGCAACGATGCAGAAGGTCATGTTCTATAATGTTGCAGAAGATACAGGCGGGAGGGAAGACTAAAATGCAGGAATGTTCATCTCCATATGGGCAGAAGGCAATTTACGTTTTAATGGGTTTCAAGGGAGAGAGAATATTTACAGCAAGCCTTCAAGATAGCCAGGTATGGTACAAGGAATCTAGAGAAGTAGGCAAAATCCAGGCCATGGATGTCCCCATGTGACATCCTAGGGAAAGCTGAGGGGATTCCACAGTCTCATTTGGATCATGGTCATTCCAACAGCAATGTGAGAAATAATTTGTACCTAGGCCTAAATACAGATCATGAATCCTATGGACCTGAATAGCACTGTCCAGAGAGAGACAAGAAAGATGCAAATCCAGGAAACTGGGAGTCAAAGAGAAGATGAAGATAAAGAGGGGGAAGTAGGCTGTGCTTAGTACTGTTGGTGACTGACCACGAAACCGCGGAATTCTGGGTAAGCTTAGCAGGTTGATCTGCTCAGTCTCAATCTTCTGATGGCCCCTCATGTCTGACAAGGGTAAGCGCTGTCCGTATCCTCCCATTTTCAGACCGTGAGCATCTCCTCTATTTTCTGCATCATGTCCGACTCTCAACAGTCAGAAAAAATTGTGCCTGTACCTCATTCTCAGTTCATCTGCCATTTCTGCACCTCTCTGATCATTTTTATACCCCCTCAAGTCCCCCGACCTGGCTCTCTTTTACACTGTCTACTCTATGAATGGCTTAGTCCTGAATTCTAGCTACAAAGTTTCTTTTTTTTTTTTTTTTTTTTTTGAGATGGAGTCTTGCTCTGTCACTCAGGCTTGAGTGCATTGGCACCACCTCTGCTCACTGCAACCTCTGCCTCTCAGGTTCAAGTGATTCTTCTGCCCCAGTCTACTGAGTAGCTGGGACTACAGGCATGTGCCACCAAGCCCGGCTAATTTTTTTTGTATTTTTAGTAGAGACGGCATTCCACCATGTTCACCAGGCTGGTCTCAATCTCCTGACCTCGTGAGTTTCTTATCTTCAGTTGCTTGATGCCCTTAGTTTGCAATAACCATAAGGGAGCACTGTGTGGGGAACCTGTAACTTCAGAATGTAGGTATGGCTCTCCTGATATGTGACTGTGTCATATTGAGGAAACCTCACATGTCTTCAGTTTTCATATCTGTATAGCAAGAGGCTTTTATTAGATAATTTTAGGAGAAATTATAGACATAAAAGTGTCAAGAATTACCATCCACCTGGAATAGGGACCTGAAAATGCTTATTGAGGAAACATGTGGAAAAGAGGAATTTTGGAAGCAAAAAGACATGAATTTCAAGAGTGGTTCTATCACATTCTATATTTACTTCTTTGAACTTCTGTTTCTTCATTTGTAAGACGAAGCTAACAGCTATATTGCTGAGGTATTTTTGCGAATATGTGAGGAAAAGCACTGAGTAGCTCCCATTTGGTATGCAGCAGACAGATAACCAATGGCATCTATTGCTATTATTACTTGGAGTTAAATTCAATAAAAAAGAACATTTAAGTAAATTCCGATGAGTGTATTTATGACTCCAACAGTGTGTTTTCTTAGCTCTGAGTCTGTCATTCAGGACTTAATATTTTTTATTAAGAAATAAACCGCTAAAACCATTTAACAATACCCTCACTGTCCTAATGACAGTAATATATGGTCTACAGTCATGCTTAACACACAACAAAAATCTACTTCAGCATTAAAAATCAGAAAAGGTGATAAAAACTCAATCTTAATTCTCCTATGTCCATTGGATATTAATTCATAAGAGTTGTGATTTAGGGTTTCTAAATAGCCACATATTTTTGTAACATTGTAAGTGGTGATGTTATTTTCTGTAATTTTCAAAAATAAAGTGTTTGTTTTGTATTATTTATAATAGTTACCTGATTTGAAGTGAGACCAGAGAAAGAAAAATAAACTTGTGTGCACTATAATTTGTTTTGAACAAGAATGTAGGATTTATTGAATGCTGTAATTTGACTTACTGCATATACAAATATCATTAGAAAACAATGAAAATTCACATACACCACTTTGTCATGTAACATTAAGGTAGCAACATGGTTAGCTGGGGAAATATATTGCAAATTAAATGGCTTTTTCCAGCACTGCCTAATCCTTCTGGCAAGTTCTGCAGAGTAAGGGGTTCTCATTCTCTGAATCTAAACACACTGGCTCATGGACATAGGTCAAAGTTGTACCACAAGTAATCGCTGCCAATGATTACTTACATGGGTAAATGATGTACATTTTAAAGAAATTAGAACAGAAAAGTTTATTTCTACAGTGTCATTTTTGTTCCCAATTTGCATGTTTACTTGAGTGGAAGAGAAATGAGTAGAGTCTCAAAGGAGAAGAAAACAGTATTTATTGAAAACCTGTGTAATCACTTAAATTTATATAAACATGTGTGTGGGAAGTCTGAAAATTTTGGAATTTTGAAAGGATAATGGGATAATGCTTTTTTGCGTTAAGCCACTGAGACTTTGGGTTTTATATTTGTCACCACAGCGCAGTCTATCCTATCCTGACTAATACATCTGTGTATTTATGAGTTCACTCGAGGTAATTTATTATTATTTTTATATTACAGATGACAAAGCTGAGACTTGAAGAGATTTAATAACTTTTCTGGATAGAAAGCAGTCCAGATGGGATTTAAATCCAGCTGTCATTTGAACCAAGATATTTTTTGAATTGAAACTATTTCTTATATCATATATAATGTGGCTTATGTGTGAATGAATCTACTATTTTTGCATAAAATATGCCTGGTATGTGAATAAAACTGATTCCTTTTGTCCCTTTTTATCCTTAAGTTTTTCAATGTATCCCTACTATGGCCATCCTCACTGCATAAGTAAAGCCTCCTTATTCTATAAGGAAAAGTCCTTCCTCCTCAATACAGAGTTAAACAAGATACTAAAATTTGTTTCCAATATGTAGCAGAGGACAATCTGTCTCTAAGAAGAACTCTCTCTCCCCATTCCAATTAAAGCCTGGGTGTAATTGGAAACAAATAAGGGGCAAAAGCCCATATATCTTGGCTACTTGATGATTCTGATGGGAGTTCGGTCTTTACTGGACACATGAACCAAAGTAATTCTTGAGAGCCTATCATTTACAATAGGTGCTATGGACCTAATATTGTTAGCACCTGTAATTTGGATTGGTTTTCTAGTAATAGCAAGTGAATGACAATATCTCTCCCCATATTTATCTTTTGTAGGCAAGGCTGTGTGTTTTCAAGAGTTGTGCATGGCTCCATACTACTGGTGTAACTTTGTTTTGTTTTGTTTTGTTTTGTTTTTGATATGGAGTTTCACTCTTTGTTGCCCAGACTGGAGCACAGTGGCATGATCTCAGCTCACTGCAACCTCCGCCTCCCGGGTTCAAGTGATTCTCCTGCCTCAGTCTCCCAAGTAGCTGGGACTACAGGCACCTGCACAGAACTCCTGACCTTAGGTGATCCACCTGCCTCAGCCTCCCAAAGTGCTGGGATTAGAGGCGTGTGCCACTGCGCCCCGCCTACTGGTATAACTTTAAAGCAAGTCCTTTCCGTGGAATAACACGAGTAAATGTATTTTATTTCAATCCTATTACCAAAGCTTAAATGAGTCCAAAGTGTATGCAGTTTTTATAATGAACAAAAAGTAAAAAAAAAAAAAAAAAAAAAAAAAAAAAGAATTTTTTTTTGTAAATTTGGTAAATTTTAATTTACTAAAAATTTAGTAAATTTTAATATCACCTGTATTGTGAGAAACAAAATTCAGCCTAAGAATGACCTGACTGGTTGGGTGCAGTGGCTCATGCCTGTAATCCTAGCACTGTGGGATGGCTCACCGGAGGTCAGAAGTTTGAGACCAGCCTGGCCAATATAGTGAAACCCCATTTCTACCAAAAATACAAAAAATTAGCTGGGCGTGATGGTGGGTGCCTGTAATCTCAGCTACTCAGGAGACTGAGGCAGGAGAATCTCTCGAACCCAGAATGCAGAGGTTGCAGTGAGCCGAGATTGCACTATTGCACTCCAGCCTGGGCAACGAGAGCAAAACTCCGCCTCAAAAAATAAAAAATAAAAGAATGACCTGACTATGAAACTCTTATTCAAAACCCACTTTTTTCCCTTAAGATACAAGGAACTATTGACTTGAAATGGTGAAAACCTCTCTATTTATGCTTTAGAAAGACCAGTAAAACCAAGATGATGCTCTTTGAGTAGCTTTTAAGACAAATGCTTGAATATTTTGTAGATTTTCAAATATAGAAAATATCAGGCCGGTATGATGACTTATACCTGCAATCCCAGCAATTTGGGGAGGCAGAGGTGGGAGGATCACTTGAAGCCAGAAGTTAGAGCCTGGGTAACAAAATAAGACCTCAGTCTCTGCAAAACATAAACAATAATAATAAAATAAAATATCCGGGCATTCTGATGCATGCTTATCATCCCAACTACTCAAAAGGGTAATGCAGGAGGATTAGTTGAGCCCAGGAGGTCAAGGCTGCAGTAGGTTATGAGGGCACCACTGCACTTCAGCCTAGGTGACAGAGCAAGAAGCTCTCAAAAAAGAAAGAGAAAGGGAAAGAAACGGAAGGAAGGAAGGAAGGAAGGAAGGAAGGAAGGAAGGAAGGAAGGAAGGAAGGAAGGAAGGAGGAGAAAGAAAGAGAAAGAAAATATCAAATCTCCTGTAAAAAACAATCAGAAAACGGAACAAAAATATATAAAACATACAGTAATTATTATCTTGCAAGTAGCTCAAATCTTTAAAAATGCATCTGTCCACATTAGTTATCTGGCAGTGGCCACTGTACCACTAGAAATATTTCAATAATTCATTTCCCCTGCACATTTGTTTCATATGGATTGAATTAGAAAGCATGGAAACTACAGATTAACCTAAGCATTCATGGATGCTTTAGTTTGAGTTTTGCAGAAAATTCTCTTATTTATTAACAACATGCTACATATATATGAAGCCATGTGGTTTTCTATTTAAAGCCTGTAGTGAAAAAAAAGCCTTAGTGAATTTCAAAAGGAGATTATGCCTTTTTCTTATTGTTATTGACATGTATTCAGTGTCAAAATAATGACTACAGCAATATGTGGGAAAAATATTTAAGAAAGGTTCAGAAAAGGGTGTCGAGCAGACACATCAGACCATAATAAAGCCATCAGATAGGCATTCATCTTGGACATCATCAACTTTTTGTCACTGTTGTTCAAGTTTATTCTAATATGGTTTTGTTGGTATTGTTGTTAATTAAATACTGTATATAAGAACATGGAGCCATTTTAACAGGAATATCTTCAGGCCACAATACAGATGGAGTCATGCAAATAACCAAAATGACCACCAGGTGGCAAAGTATACAAATCTACATCATTCAGATGGGCTCTGCCAGAAGAGAAAGTGTCTTGCAGCAAGCAGGTGGGGCTGGGGCGGGAGGGGACAGCTTCTTTTATGATTGTCTGCTGGCTAGAGAATAGCAAAATTATACTAATTTCTCAAAAATTGGTAATTACCCCAAATTCCTAGTTCTTGAGATGAATGTATGTATCATGTTACTATTCTAATTTATTACAAATTTTTCTGTTTTAGAGCAAAATTGAAAATCTTAAATCCCAAATATATATTTTAAAATCCAAATTATTGGGTGTCTCTCACAGCATTTTAAATTCATTTGATATGTATACACGAGTCAATCGGAGAATGGGAGTTATTGCTCCTCAAATTCAGAACCATTATGTGATTATATGATTAGTGCTAGTTATCATAAAATTACAGCTATTTATATTTCAAAAATTTTTAGTTTGGAGCAGCTAGATTATAAGACTTCTTCTTAATATTGTTGTTTCCAAAACTCTGTGATCTTTTTTTTTCCCTATAATGTAGTTTGAGAGATCAATTAGTTTTCTTTTTCTTTTTCTTTTTTCTTTTCTTTTTTTTTTTTTTTTTTTTTTTGAGATGGAGTCTTGCTCTGTCGTCCAGGCTGGAGTGCAGTGGCATGATCTCAAGTCATTGCAACCTCCACCTCCCAGGTTCACGCCATTCTCCTACCTCAGCCTCCCAAGTAGCTGGGACTACAGGCATGTGCCACTGTGCCAGCTTTTTTTTTTTTTTTTTTTTTTTTTTTTGTATTTTTAGTAGAGACAGGGTTTCACCATGTTGGTCAGGCTGGTCTAGAACTCCTGACCTCAAATGATCCACCCACTTTGACCTCCCAAAGTACTGGGATTACAGGCGTGAGCCACCATCCCTGGCCAGTTTTCAATCTAGTATATAATAATCTATATCCGAAGGCCTGACCTCCTAAGTCCTAGACAAGAAAATCTAAAATATCCATCTGGATGTGCCATACATAATTTATAATTAATATATTTAAAACTGAGCTCATTGTCTTTCTCCCAAAAGATCTCCTCCTTTCATCTGATTTCTCTCCTGTTAACCCAAGGCTGAAACCCGGGACTGCTTAGTATCTATTCTTTTGTTTCTCTGCACCCTTCATCATCTGGATCCTGCTCACTTCTTTGGTCTCTACTTCTCCATTCCCTTTCCCCAAACTTAACCATGTTCTCCCGCCCTTCTGTGGCTTGGCCATGCTTCTTTTTGTTGCCTGGCTACTACTCCTGGGGTTGTAAATTGACATGCTTTCTGGAAGCTTTTGGCATAATGTATAAAATACCTCAGAAAATCCATATTCCTGTATTTGTCAACTCCATTTCTAAAAATGAAGTCATGAAAAAGTTGATCTAACATTTTGTAAATATTATTTATAATAGGAAAAAAACCCAGAAAACTTAAACTTCTAGGAATGTTTTGCAGTGACCAGGCATGGTGGCTCATGCCTGTAATCCTAGCACTTTGGGAGGCTGAGGCGGGCAGATCACTTGAGATCGGGAGCTTGAGACTATCCTGACCAACACGGAAACCCTGTCACTACTGAAAATACAAAAAATTAGCCAGGTGTGGCGGCGCATGCCTGTAATCCCAGCTACTTGGGAGGATGAGGCAGGAGAATCACTTGAATCCAGGAGGCAGAGAGTGTAGTGAGCCAAGATCCCACCACAGCACTCCAGCCTGAGCAACAGAGCCAGGTGACACTGTCTCAAAAAAAAAAAAAAATAGAAATAAAAATAATTTTAAAAAAAAGAAAGAAAAGAAAAAGAAAAAAAAAGATTTCGCAGCTATGTAAATGGTATTTTCAAATACATAATCTCATGGAAAATGTTTGTGATGTAATATTAAGTAAAAAGCAATGTTAGAATAAAACTGTTAAATGTGATCTGCTTTATCTCCCCTAACAAAGAAAACTCAGTCAACCTTCACACCTAGACCTAACCCAATAGCATAATTGCACTTGGCACGTGGTATTATAATTATCTTCATTTTTATTTAATCTGTCTCTCACACCGTTCTTCCTAAACAGATAGTCTATGAATCACTTTATCAGAATAATATGTTGTTGTTTTTATATATTCAAATTCTGAACTTATAGAATTTAGCCAGACCCATAAAATTATCAGACATTTTGCTATGTCTTTTTCTAGTTTTATTGGGTGACCTTGGTGATTTCATTTATACCCACTGATGTAGCATAACTATTTCACAGAATGTTAGAGTTGAATTAGTTACCCGTGTGAAGCAGCTGGCACACTGAGGAGCACATGATATCGTTACTCTTGCTCCACTTTCACCCTGACTTCTCTATGTCTCACCCCACCATCCCACCCTTCCTCTCAGTCCCCTACACTTCACTGCACTATTTACTGCCCCCTGTTATCTCCATTGTGACTGTCCTTTATTCCC